TGTGTTCTTTACTTACTACACTGTGGTCCTGATCTTGTAAACACATGTGTGAGTCACCATTTTCCTCTGTGGGCCATATATGAAATTACTCATACACGTAAGTGTTTGCAGGATCATGGGCTATCCTTGTTAATCTCTGTTAGCTCTAGAATTGAACTCTGTTATATATTTAATGGGATTCTTTTAAAAAAAGGTTAAATAGGTACATTTTATTTTCAAAAATTTCTGTTACCATTTATGCTTTTTGCTCTTTGGTTTGGAATATAAAACTAGGCTGAGAAATTTGCCATTTTTCTGTATCTCCTCCTCCTTTGCACTAGAATCATAGAATACTAGGACTGGAAGGGACCTTGAGAGGTCATCGAGTCCAGTCCCCTGCCCTCATGGCAGGACCAAATACTGTCTAGAACATCCCTGATAGACATTTATCTAACCTACTCTTAAATATCTCCAGAGATGGGGATTCCACAACCTCCCTGGGCAATTTATTCCAGTGTATAACCACCCTGACAGTTAGGAACTTTTTCCTAATGTCCAACCTAAACCTTCCTTGCTGCAGTTTAAGCCCATTGCTTCTTGTTCTATCCTCAGAGGCCAAGATGAACTAGTTTTCTTTCTCTTCCTTATGACACCGTTTTAGATACCAGAAAACTGCTATCATGTCGCCCCCTCAATCTTCTCTTTTCTAAACTAAACAAACCCAGTTCTTTCAGCCGTCCTTCATAGGTCATGTTCTCTAGACCTTTAAGCATTCTTGTTTCTCTTCTCTGGACCGTCTCCAATTTCTCCACATCTTTCTTGCAATGGGATGCCCAGAACTGGACACAATACTCCAACTGAGGCCTAACCAGCGCAGAGTAGTGCAGAAGAATGACTTCTCTTGTCTTGCTCACAACACCCCTGTTAATGCATCCCAGAATCATGTTTGCTTTTTTTAGCAACAGCATCAAACTGCTGACTCATATTCAGCTTGTGGTCCACCATAACCCCTAGATCCCTTTCTGCCGTACTCCTTCCTAGACAGTCGTTTCCCATTCTGTATGTGTGAAACTGATTGTTCCTTTCTAAGTGGAGCACTTGGCATTTGTCTTTATTAAACTTCATCCTGTTTGCTTCAGACCATTTCTCCAATTTGTCCAGATCATTTTGAATTATGACCTTATCCTCCAGAGCAGTCGCAACCCTTCCCAGCTTGGTTTCATCTGCAAACTTAATAAGCGTACTTTCTATGCCAGTATCTAAATCGTTGATGAGGATATTGAACAGAGCCGGTCCCAAAACAGACCCCACTTGTTATACCTTTCCAGCAGGATTGTGAACCATTCATAACTACTCTCAGAGTACGGTTATCCAGCCAGTTATGCACCCACTGTAGAGTAGCCCCATCTAAGTTGTATTTGCCGAGTTTATTGATAAGAATATCATGCATACTAGATCATTTACTATTCTAAAAGGGGGAAAATTGTAAAATACTTGTAAGTAAAGCCTCTTATAGGATTATTGCCAATTTTTTGTTGTTTAATTACAAAATACTCTTTAAACAATTGCAGTGTAATTCTCCTTTAAGTAATTAATTATTCGGAATAACAGATAAATGGTATGAAGATTATATTGTTAGACAATTCAAAACAAATTATCTGAAAAAGGTTAACTTTAAAAAATACATTTTTTCTAAAAGAATACAAGAAAAAGAGCATGAGCAGGTTTAGAATTGATGAACTTTAACCTGTATGCTATCAAAAGTAGAAAGAGAAACAAACAATATAGAAATAATTAGAAACTAAATAGAGAAAGGGATTACTTGTTCACATTAAGACTGAGATAATATTGACCTAGCATTACAAAGGCATATGAAGATTAATTAGAAAATGCTCATAGAGGGGCTTTTGAAGCTGAAAAGTGCAATATGCTATAAATTTTAGATGCTACTTAGTGTTCCTTCATGCCAGAATCTTGAATACTGACACCATGCAAGCTGACAAGTTGCCAGATAAATGAGTAACTCACAGCAAAAAAAAAAAAAAGGCATAGAAAATCAAGGGTGTGTGTGTGTGTGTGTGTGTGTGTGTTTCTAATTAATAAATATCATGTTAAAAAAGCACATGATGTGCACATTATACAGAGGTTTGCCAAGAGAAGGAAGCTGAGTTTTAGTCTGATTTTTCTTTTATCTAACACAAGAAGTTTGTAAGTAGAAGTGTTTAAACCATGTTTATTATACTGCTTCTTACTGTCCTGAATGTGTTAAAGAAAACAATAAAAAATGATGGATGCTGATAATAGAACACACTTTCTCTTTAAATATTTTACTGTATGGTACAACACAGCTTTATTTTGTACAGTGTCTTTCATATGCATTATGTCCTAAGTCTCTGTAGAGAGTTGAATAATACAGAAACAGAGTTAAATAACAGCACAGGGAGAGATATTAAGGAGGAAAAGAAATGTTTTCAAGTGATATTTGAAACGAGCAGAATTAGTCATTTGATTTAAAGTGCCACAAAATGGAGTGGCCAAAATTTTCAAAGCTTGGTTCCTAAAGAGAACTGATCTGTTTTCCTCCCCGCAACCAGTCACTGGCCTCTTGCAGCTCCTTTTTATTCCACTGGGAACTGGGGCTGGTCTGTAATTCAGGATTCTTCTCTTTACGTATCTGAATTTGAATTTAGATGCCCAATGTTAGGCCCCCAGGCTTAACATTTTTGACAAACTTATAAGACACAGTAGCCGAGTGTTGCAGGGCGAAATTGGCATGGGGTTTTTCATGCCTACTGAGCACTATTTCCAGAGCATTGTTGCGATGTGGAGAGGTGGGTTTGTGTGTTTAACAATGTGACTGTTCACTGTCTTTCCTAACTTGCTTGTGCAATTGTTTTAGCTTTTTTCTTTTCTTTTTTTTTATTCCTTAACTTGGGCTCTCTTCCTTCTCCTTGCTTGCTGCTGTTGTCTCCCGCTCTGTCTTCTGCTTGCAACACTAAAGCACGCAGCCCACTCGAGAGTTCTGTGCCCTGCCTAGCAACCCGCACGTTGGATGATGAAATCCGAGTGCAGCGCAGCCCCAGCGTGGGATGGCTAAGTAAGTCAACCATTGGGGGCCCGGGAAGAAGGGCAGCACCCCTGCAGTTGGATGGGTTAGTTTGGAGAAATATAGAAAGGGCAAACACTAAACAATTAAGTTCTTTAAAATGCACAACTTTATTAATAGTAAGAGAAGTTGGAAATCCTCTAAGCATAGATGCAGCGTTATCTGTCTGTGTCCCTGGGCTGCCCCAATGGTGTTTCCTGCACTTCTCTCAAAGTTCCATCCTGTCGTGGTAAAAGGGTAGTTCTGATTCTCGTTCCATTCAAACTTCTGTCTCTCTTATAAGGCCTAAGCTACACTATGTGCCCGCCCTTCACCTTCAATCTAACCTATGCACGTAGCTGAAGTTGACACACTTACTTAGGTTTCTTTCATGTGATAAGGTCAGTAGGGTCTGCTCTTCTGCCAACTCCAGCTACTCTTTTCGTTCTGGTGGAGTACCAGAGTCAATGGGAGAGCACTCAGAGGTTGATTTATCATGTCTGTTCATGTCACCATGTATCATTGATGAGTTGATTGCTGCAGCATAGATCCACCATGTAGTGAAGACAAGTCCTAAAGCAGCCAGTGAAATTGCCGGTGAGGGGCAATGATTGTGTTGGTTTTTTTTGTTGGAGACGCATTCCTATTACGAACCAGACCAAGACTATCAACTTGTTCATTAGGTCACTAAGCAGCCAACACATTGTAACAATTTCCAGTCTGGACAAAGTCAGATTGTCAACCTACAGATGAAAGGCCCTGTAATCTCGTTACAAATCCCTCAAAGTAGCTAGTGCTAAAGAATTAGCTTTAGCAGGGTACCTATTTTTTTATGTATTTAAATATCTGACTTTTATTAAGCAAGTTTTTAATAAGGCTTGCTAGTTGTAATATAATGTACAAATGCAAAGCTTAAATATGTTTAAGTTCTTTATAAATGAAATATACTTAAACCTGTACAGATGCACATCACAGAGCAGGCAACACTTAGCACATACATTTTTTAGAAATGAGTTGAGCTTTATTCTCTCTGTCTGTGTCTACCATTGCTCTTGATGTTGTCTTGTTAATTTCAGAGGAACTGTTTTCAGATTCAGGTGCCATCTATACAGTTAGGATAAGTCGACTACTCACATTTCCTACCACTGCCTCTGTATCAGAAGCAGCAAGGCAGGAACCAGTGCTGGCGGGAGCTGGCTTAAAACCCAGTTCCCGTTAGTACCATCTCTGTGGTGCTACCTGCCCTTCCTCCCAGTGCTGCTGCTCTGTCAGAAGCAGCAGCACAGCAGGGGGAGTTGCAAGGGGAGGCTGCCACGAAACAGCCTCTTCTCGGAGGGGGCCCAGGCTTGCTGCGAGCAGAGGCTGGGACCCTCCCTCCCTGTGGACAAGGTCTGCTGCCACGAAGCAGCCTCTGCCCGCAGCAGCCTGGGTTGGTCCTAGACAGAGGCTGCTGGATCCAGACGAGCCAAGACTGAGCATGTCCGGCTCAGTCCCAGCTCACGCCGAGTTCGGGTGCTACCCCCGCTGTGGCTCTGAAGTTTAAGTGTAGTAGGAATTGGGCTGCCTCCGTGCCTGGCTCTTGCTACATTTAAACTGCAGAGCCGCAGCGTGGGTAGGTCCTGCAGCTGGGGATTTCACAGGAACCTGGCCAGTGGGGGAAGAAAGACAATATCCCAGCATGTTGACCTGCTTACCATGCTCGGGTTCACTGTGGCTCAGCTCACTCTTTGGTTCACCTGTTTTGAAATCTTTCCCCTGATATCCCAGGGGTTGGGATGGGAATGAGTGTGAAGGCGTTGAGAGTTGTGTATTCAAAATGCACAAGCTGCTGTTATAAAACACAGAGTGTTGCGTTAGCTGGATCAAGCATTAAGTCTCCATAAATAGGGATTCATAAACATAAAATGCAGATAAATGTGCAGCCATAAACATTAAAAATAAGTGTTCTCACTTGAGCTTTAGAGTAAATGGTGGTTTTATTAGTCCCTTGTTTTCCAGCTGTGACCTTTGGCTGCTCTTTAACACAGAGGTTAGCTAACTGATGATTGAATTACCTGCACTTAATTTTGTTGGAAGGTGAAAGCCTTTCTGCTTGAAATAAAAATGCCAAGGTTAAACCCATTTACTCTTCACAGCGGTTGGTAGAATGGCTGGACCTAGTTTCTGGCGAGAGTAAGTCATTATAGCATCACAGGTAGCGATGCTATAGTTAGAGCTGAGTCGGGAACAGCTCTGAGTCTCAGAAACTGAGGGTGGTACAGAATATGGCTTTCTCTTCTGGCTCACTTCCTTCCCCACTGAATTCAATGAGACTTTCCTCCCTGAAATTAGAGTAGGATGACAGAGCCTGTTTTTTAAAAGTTTCATTTGGCTAAAGTATCGTGCAGTGACTGGGATGCTGCTCTTGTCTCCCCACTTTTGATCTGCAGCCCCTGTGCTAGGAAGATGAGCAGTAGCTTTTTTGGAGGACCCCAGGGCTCTGGAGTTCACTTACCCAGTTGGGGTCAGGTTTTCTACCAACGTACTTTAATTGTCAATCAAGACTGGATGCTCTCCTGCAAAATCTGCTCTGGTTCAAACAAGAACTAAGTCAGGGAGAATCTGTGGCCTCTGTTTATACAGGCGGTCACACTGGGTGATCGTAGTCCTGCCTTCTCGTCAGATAATATATGAATCTTTTAACTAAAATGCAGCATTCCTGGCATGTTTGTTCAGTCTTGGGCATTTCATAAACCAAGGCCTCACCAAATATTTACTGGGGAGTAGACAGAAATTGCCTGACTTAGTCCATGTGCGGCCCAGTTGAGAGTTGGACCTAGAAGTCTAGGAATGTTAGTTTATCAACTATTTTTTTGTGTGCCAGTGCTAGCAACAGAAAATGAAATTATACTTTCTGAAAATGGCCTTCCCAATAGCAGTACTGCTTCAAAACTCTTCTGAATACTCTCAAATACATTAAAATGGCATGGAATGTTGTTTTAAATAAAGGAATTGGCAAGTTTTTAGAGTTCCCCTAAAAAGTGTTTTTTCCCCTCTTTTTTTGTTTTGCTTCTTTAAACTTGAAGCCACTACATCAATTTGCCTCTCAGGCTATGTCTATACTACCAGGTTATTTTGAAATGAGTTATAACTCCCGAAATAACTATTTTGAAATAAGCTTATCCTTCTTCAAAAGGAGTAGTTATTTCAAAATAACAAGCCCATTAGTTTGAAATAACAGGCTTGGTACTGTGGATGCTCGCCTTGTTATTTCGAAATAATGCTTCAGTGTAGACATGCCCTTAGTGACCATCTGAAATGACTGCAGCCATGGTTTGGCGATCACGTGACAAGAAGAAAAGCTTCTTGGACAATGGGAAATCAGTCTCAACATCTCTCCATATGTTGCTGCATCTAACAGGCAGCCCCAACTACCCTGCCCAAGAGAAGTGGGTAGGTGGTGACTGTGGGATGAGAAGTGATGCTTTCTGCCCGTGAGCATTCCCATCTGTGACAATATATGAACTTCTTCAAAACTGTTCAGCTCAGCTGTAGTGAAGATGATGTTTTGTGTCTCATTTACTAACAGTAATACTAATACTACTAATGATACTCAGGAAAGAACACTCAATAGAAACCTTTGCATCCAGCTTTGTGACATCAGTTATTAATTTGAACAAATTCCATATTTAAATAAATGCCTTCCCATGTCTTCGATTGCAGATTTGCAAAACTGCCCTCTATGCTGCACAAAGTTCCAATCCAGTTCTTTTTAACCCATACGTATATTATGGACTTGTGTAATTTTTCTCCAGAATTTCCAGAGTTATAGTCTTCCTATAACTTTTAAAAACTAATGAATTAACTAAATGCAAGAAAAAACATGGGTTTTAATAATGCATTATGATTCAGACAATCCAGACTTGTTTTGCTTCTCCATTTCTTTTATGGTCTGTGGCAAATGTTTCTTTGCAAAAGGAGGAATGTTGTTTTCAGAAATGCAAAGCAAGATATGTATTATAGAATAGACTCAAATGCATTATTAGGCAATTTTGCTCCTTCCCCAATTTTTTTTTATCATGTATCACACACACTCAAAACACAAATGAGATACTTCACTGAAACTTTAGGGGCACCACTAAGGTTGGCATGCTGAATGCTAAACCAGGCAACATTTGAGGCTGCACATAACTGGTCTCAGATATGTAATTTCCCACCTTGCATGTAGGCAGTTTGGGAAATTTTTGCATGGGAGGGCTTGCATGATGAGAGGGCATCTCCTTCCATAGCATCTATCTAAGCTTTGCTGCTTGTGCTGTTTGTAGCCATTCTTGTTCAAAGTAATAATCAATGTGAATATGATGATTAAAACTAGAGCAGGAAAAGAACATTTAGAGTCTGTCCATTTACTTTCCTCCCTGTGAGAACAAATCCTTCTTTATTTCTTGAAAGTTGTCTCACTATGCATGGATGGATAGCCTCATCTTAAAAGAGGAGGTACCTATCTGTGCTTTCTGTATACAGGTTTAATGATGGAAATTAAAAGGAAAGTAGACTGGAACTTCCCTAAGCACTCCAGAACCTATAGGAAATCCCTACTGAATGTTCTTTTAAGTGTATGAAATTTGGGAAGATGAGAATAGCAATCTGCTGGTACCCATCCTGGATACTATGTTAGGAAGGCGTATCATAGAACACTAGAACTGGAAGGAACCTCGAGAGGTCATCAAGTCCACTCCCCTGCCCTCATGGCAGGACCAAGCACCATCTAGATCAGCGGTTCCCAACCTTTTCCAGATGGGGACCCATTTTGACAATTCAGGAAGACTTGGTGACCCAGGGCAATTCAAAAAAATGTGTGAATGGCTCCTTAAGAGCCACCTGGGGAGACACCTGGCGACCCTTTTGAAATGTCATGGTGACCCATATTTGGGTCCCGACCCATAGATTGGGAAACCCTGGTCTAGACCATCCCTGATGTCTATCCAACATGCCCTTAAATATCTCCGGTGATGGAGTTTCCACAACCTCCCTAGGCAACCCATTCCAGTGTTTAACCAGCCCAACAGGAAATTTTTCCTAATGTCCAACCTAAACCTCCCTTGCTGCAATTTAAGCCCATTGTTGCTTGTCCTATCCTCAGAGGCCAAGGAGAACAATTTTACCCCCTCCTCCCTGTGACATCATTTTAAATTCCTGAAAACTCCTATCATGTCCCCCTCTCAGTCTTCTCTTTTCCAAACTAAACAAGCCCAAATCCTTCAGCCTTCCCTCACAGCACATGTTTTCCCTAGACCCTTAATTATTTTTGTTGCTCTTCTCTGGACCTTCTCCAGTTTCTCCACATCTTTCTTGAAATGTGGTGCCCAGAACAGGACACAGTCCTCCAACTGAGGCCTAATCAGTGCAAAGTAGAGCAGAAGTTAATGCATCCCAGAATCTTGTGGGTGGTTTGTGGGGTGTGGGTCTTTTTTTAAATGTTATTTATTAATTTTTGCCACGGTATCACATTGTTGACTCATATTTAGCTTGTGGTCCACTATGAGCCCTAGATCCCTTTCTGCAGTACTCCTTCCCAGACAGTCACTTCCTATTCTGTATATGTGAGACTGATTGTTCCTTCCTAAGTGGAGTACTTTGCATTTGTCCTTATTAAACTTCATCTTGATTGCCTCAGACTATTTCTCCAGTTTGTCCAGATCATTTTGAATTATATGCTATGACTCTGGATTTTATTATTTAAATTTCATTGTACATCTTAATGTACATCACTTCCGTGTCACAGAAAATGCATCTTTATTTGGAAGCTGATACAAATTAGTGCCATAATAGATCACCTGTCCCCTCTCCCCCCCACGTTTTTAATTGAATTTCTTTGTACCCTTATGAGAAAAGGCGGCTTGAGAGCAGAGATGCTGCCTTAACAAAGGGTGCCAGTGGTTTACCAATCTAGGCACCTGAATTGTAACCCCGGCAGTGTGAAGGATGCTGAACATTGCAACATTCGGGGTAGATTTTTCAAAAGAACTCGGTTCCTACTTGTGCACCTAATATGGAATAGCCAGGTTTTCAAAGAGTGCTCAGCTCCTAGCAGCATCCAGTGAAAACCGTAAGAGCTGCTGGGTATTGTTCTCTTTTGGAAACCTGGCCTTTGGATTTTAATTTGAATGAACCCCCACAAATTAAGAGGCTTATCTTGAAATATATCCCAGTCTAGAGTCTGAACATGTGAAGTCTCACCACTACGCTCTCATTGAGATTTTTCTGTATCTCTACTTTTGGACGTGACTAGAAACATCTGTGGTAACAGCCTCTCTTCCTGTACAGCAGAACTTCTGTTTCCAGACGTCTGGGAGAAAGCACCCTAACATTTCAGAACCATAAAAAGAGCAGACTTGAAAACTTTCAGGTTGAGGGTATTACACCTGTTGTCAGTCTCTCCTATGGCTGCCATTTGATCCCCTCCCTCCCCGTTTTCCTCCTTGTGGTTTTGACCCTGTTTGGAGGTTGGTTGGTGGGTTGGCTTTTAAAAGGGCTCTAATAGGATTTTACAGATAAGGGAAGGTTTGGTTGCTTATTTTTCCAAGTTACTTACTCCTCTCTATTGTAACAAAAGACAGGACTATGCAGCACTTTAAAGACTAACAGGATGGTTTATTAGGTGATGAGCTTTCATGGGACAGACCCACTTCCTCAGATCAAATAGTGGAAGAAAATTGGCATGCCTATCTATACTAAAGTGGGACTGGCCCACGAAAGCTCATCACATAATAAACCATCCTGTTAGTCTTTAAAGTGCTGCATAGTCCTGTCTTTTGTTTCAGCAAGACCAGACTAACACGGCTACATCTCTATTACTCTCTACTGTAGTGTCTGAAAACATAAGGTTCAGCTAGAATATATGTCTAGATGCTTTTGCACAATTACCATCTGGCTTTGGTGCCTTGAGGTCCTCTAGTTTAGTTGGCTGGCAGTTTAAGGCTAAGCAGTGTTTATCTCGTCAATTACTTCTTTAAAAGAAAGATTAAGTCCACGTATTTAAGATAAATACATCTCTCCGACCGCAGACATGTCTCAGACTGGTTACTGTGGTTTTACACCACGGTAATGTGCAGATAGTTTTCTCTCTTCTGTTCAGCAGTCTCAGTGGTTGACAGGGAGGGGCAGTTAACAAGGTAATTGAAAGAAAAGTGATTTATTCTAAACAGCAATAGCTGATATTATAGGCATGCTCCCATTATGCCCTGTTGATTTAAACCAGCCTGTCAGTCAGTTCTATTAACAGGGGGAAGGGAGGAACTCATGTAGGAAGTGTCAGACATGTTAAGGAGCAAGGCTCAAACTCTATTTTTTTTTTTTTAGAAGTGCCTTATTTCTATGGCATACTTAGTAGGGGGATATTATTTACCAGATACTGTGACTCTTTAGCTTCCTTCTATCCCCTTTGAGCTCCATAAAGCACTCTGGATCAGACTCTAAATTTTTTCCAATTTGGCCCAGTACCCAGCCCTCTTTATGCAGCCCTTTGGAAGGCAATACTGTAGCCAGGCCCTCTGTGTCCTTTATGCTGGGTTGTAACAGATGCCTTAACTGGTATTGACCTTGTTCTTACAGGCAGTCCGTCCATGACCCATAGAAACCTGACTTCCACCAGTCTGAACGACATCTCTGACAAACCTGACAAAGAGCAGGTAAGCGTCATATTCTGACTTCACGTGAAGTAGTGCCGTGGGAGGAGGGAGAGGGGAGTTTTGAACCATAAAACTGGAATGCAAGAGATGGGCAAGAAACAGGTAAGTAGATGGGTCAGGTGTGCCATGGAACCTGCTTACCAAATGCCCCAGTTGTAAGCATCAACCGTTTATAAAGCAGTAGCTCTGGTATTGTGAGGGAAGAAGCAATCGCTGCTTTTGGGATGATCTCCAGCTTTTTCCTTTTTGTGTGGAAAGAGAGATGCGGCCCTTCAGACTAGGTTCCAGGACACGCTTCGTAGTAGGTGGTGTGACTTAAGAGTTTATGGGGCCGTGCACTAGGGATGTAATAGGATAACCATTAAACAGTTAACCAATCTGTTACCGTGAACGATTACATGCAGGCTCCTGCTCTGCTCCTGGGGAGCTGGTTGCCACCCTTGGCCACACCCTTATAATTGGACATCTAGCTAACTAATATCATGCTGACCATGGATGGTGCCGGAATAGAGAGGTTCAGCCTGTATAAAAAACTGCTGTCAAATACATGAAGTAAACAAAGTGGAAAGAATAGAGGGGAGACACATTCTTCCCCCCCCCCAAACCAAGTCTACATTTTAATAATCTGTTTAAATGTACTTCCAAGAACATTTTAAAACTTTTCCCCCAAAATACTCAGTTTTGTCAAAGTCAAATTATTTTATGGAGATATTTTGCTTTCGGGGGAGGGAGCGAGATGCCCTCATTATAGATGGGTTGAGATTCTGCTTTGGAATTTTGGGGACCCACGTCTAAGTCTTTGTTTTGTCCGAATCAGAGAAATTGGGGAAGAAGTACTTTGCTGTGATTCTCACAGAGAAAAATCTTGAACCTGAGTCTCCCATATCCCCGGCCAACACCTTAACTACTATGCTACAGAACAAAAGCACAACTCAGTTTTCTCAATGTTCAAAATGTTTCACTTTCATTCCAGTGTGGAACAAAAAAAATTCACAAAACTGCAGGTCTGTAACTTCAAAAACAATGAGCAGTCCTGTGGCACCTTAGAGACTCACAGATAAATTAAGTCATGAGCTTTCGTGGGTAAAACCCACTTCATCAGATGAGGTGGGGGTGGAAATTACAGAATCCAGAGTATATATAACAGCAAAAGAATTTTCCTGTCAGTTGTAGGACTGATGTTAACGAACCTAATTAAGTCAGGCTGGATGTGTATCATTCATAGCCACTGATGTGGAAATGCTAATTTCAAAAGTGAGGAAATTGCATTTGTAGTGTGTTAACTAGTTAAGATCTTTATTGGCGCCCAAATTGACAGTGTTTAACTTGTAAATGAACTCCAGTTGTAACTTGTAGCTCTCTCCCTCTGTAATTGGGTGATAACATTCTTTTGTAGAAGAATGGCTACTTTAAAATCAATTATTGAATGTCCAGGGAGGTTAAAATGTTCCCCTACAGGTTTGAGTGTGTTACCATTTCTTATGTCAGATTTGTGTCCATTTATCTTTTGGTGCAGAGACTGTCCAGTTTGGCCAATATACATGGCAGAGGGGCATTGCTGGCACTTAATGCCATAGATCACATCAGAGCATGTGCTGTTGGATGAGCCCCTGATGTGGTGGTTTATGTGGTTAGGCCCTGTGATGGTGTTGCTTGAATAAATGTGTGGACAGAGTAGGCAGTGGAGTTTGTTGCAGGGGTGGTAGGTTCCTGGGTTAGTGTATGTGGTGTGATTTGTGGCTGCTGATAAGTATTTGCTACAGGTAGCGGTGAGGGTTGTCTGTAGGTGTGGACTGACTTGTCTCCTATGGTTGTGAGAATGAGGGATTGTTTTCCAGGGCTGGCGGGGTTTAACGCTGGGGGCTGTAGGTGATAACCAGTAATGTTCTGTTATTTAACAGGAGAGGCAGCAATGTAATATAGTATACAGTGTTTTGGTATTGGGACCCCATATAGGGTACGTCTACACTTGCAGCCTAGTTTGAACTAGAGATGCAAGTGTAGGCGACCGAAGTTGCTAATGAAGCAGGGATTTAAATATCCCACGCTTCATTAGCATGATCTCACCCGCGCACTATTCCGCTAGCCAGCTGATTTGAACCAGGAAGTGCACTCTGGGCAGCGTTAGTTCGAATCAAACCCCTTGATTCGAACTAAGGTTACTCCTTATCTTTTGAGGAGTAACATTAGTTCAAACCAAGGGGTTTGATTTGAACTAATGCAGCCCGGAGCGCACTTCCTGGTTCGAATCAGCTGGCTAGCGGAATAGCACGCGGGCGAGATCATGCTAATGAAGCATGGGATATTTAAATCCCCGCTTCATTAGCAATTTCTGTCCCCTATATTTGCATCCCTAGTTCGAACAAGGGTGCAAGTGTAGACGTACCCATACTCAGTAGTAAGCTAGACCTAAATACTGCAACGATCTCCTCAGTTTTCTGCAGCAGACACATGGACATTTCTATGGAAGTATCAAGCAAATCCAGAAAATAATTTTTGAAATTGCATTTAATGTAAAAATAAACACAATCAATGCTATTTATACCATTTTATTCCCAAAGTGAGATTTGAAATGTCTTGCCATTTTCAGTATGCGTTAGAACTTTGTATGGACTTTGACTGTTTTTAGCAGAGGTGGGCAAATAACGTCTCATAGGCCAGATCTGGTCTGACAGGATTAGCACCTGGCAGGCCTCTGCACCGCTGTATTTACCTGCGCCTCTGCGGGTGCAGGGAGGATCATGGTTCCCGATCAATGGGAACTGTGATTGCCCACACTTGCAAAGGTGCAGGCTAACCCTGGTGAACCGCTGCTGGTTTTTTGCCCTCCCCTGGTTTATACTGAATGCTGCTGGGTTTCAGCTAACTTGTTCTAAAATATCTTAGTTATTTAGCAGACATTCTGGTAATAAGCTTTTCACAAGAAAACTCTTGCCACATAGTTTGTCAAAGTTAGTCCAAGAAATCACCTTGGACCTGAACTTTCGTTACTAAATTGGCTCAGATGTCTACTTCGGTGAAATTGTGATGATGCTTTGTAACTTTCTTGAGCTAAGCACTTACCAAGCAGTCGAGGAAGCGAGGGAATAATTCATGATTTAATGACAATGGGGCATGTAAAAACTGATTTTCTTGCCTTGACAGCTGAGTGGCTGGCTTTCATTATTTTGGCATTCTATCTGGAGGTCAGAGCGTTCACTAGGCGTTCACTAGGCTGTCTACTGGAATGTGATTCTACTTACATAAAAATGGGGGAGCCTCTCTTTTGTTAGGTTGCCCTCCAATGCACACAATCTTTAAACGGTGTGGCATATTGAAGTTTATCGTGTGTTACTTAGATCAAGAAATAATTTGCAAATAAAAAGGGGGAGATTGTGTTTTCATATTTTAAAGGATGAAGAGGTCTTGAACTAGCTTGTGTTCACTTCTTCTGCCTAGGGTTAATCTCATAATAAGACTATAACCAGAATTTGAGTTAATCTGGGTTCCAGTAGGCTCTTAGTAAGCAGAAAAACACCTGGGGTCAAGTATGGTAAAAAATATATGCTGTTTGCTCTGTGTTCATAGTGAAGCTGTTTGTTCCTCTGAAGGATAGAAGGTCCCCCACCCCGATGTAATTGAGTGTTGATGAAACATGTTGGAGTGTTTGCACTGTATCCTCAGAGAAGAGGTATGACAGAGTGATATTGTGAGCTTCGCTGCTCAGTACCTCGCGTCTCACTCCCAGTTTGGTGGGAGATGGCACTGTCTTTGGGAATCTGAGGAGCTGTCTCTCTGCTGAGATTACTAAGAGCAGTGCTAATTAGTGCCAGTGTGGCCTTGTTCTTTGTGCTGTGGACACTTGTCCATTAGAAACTGGATTGTGGGAATTCATTTTGCTCAGGCCCTCAAACAGTCACTAGATGCGCTAATGTCGGTCCGTAACTGCTGGCCTTTGTGTGAAAGACTCCTTATCCCACTACCAATCCCTTGAATCAGTAAGTCTCAGCCTTCTCCATACGGGGATCCTGCAACAGTTCCCTCCCATCTATCTAGGATGCCACCCCGTTTTACTAATAAAGAAGAACAAGGGTCATGCCCCTCCGACACCGATTTCTGACCCCATTCCCCAGGGGATTGCATCCCTCATGTTGAAAACCTCTGCTTTGAAACATGCCATCTCCCTACTTCTCGGACGTTCTCATTTGGAGAGTGGTTTGTTCCAGGCACCCCAAAATAGAGACGATCCCCTCACCTACAGATGCATCCACCTCACATCCAGTGGGTCTTTCTGTCTGACTTTCCGACTTGGAGGAAAGTGGGAACTCCCTCGGGCTTTGGGAAAGCATTGCGCCCTGCACAGCGGGGAGGCGACTCCCGCAACATGCGCAGCTGGAGCGCCACAAGGAGGACTGTCACAGTCACAAAAACGTTACTTCTCCCTTTGGTGTCTCTGACAAACTGAAAAGTTATGTGCACTTCACAGTAGGAATGAATCCAGAAAGTCTCACAAGAGGACACGACAGCAGGGACAAATGAAATCTGCGAAATGTGAAATATGCTGGTGTTTGATTTAGAGCCGTTTGGGCTGCTCTTGCACTCCTTGGCGTGGTCCTACCTCTGACTGCAGTGATAAAGAATGGTCACCCGGGCCCGGCAGCTTTCGGCGGGTTAAGTGTTATCTGGGACTTGGGAGGAAGAGAGGCTGTTTGCTGCAGGCTGAGGAAGGCGAGCTGTAAGAGTCGATTAGGACTGCATGTAAGGGCTGCATTTGCTCCTCCTCTCCAGCATACTCAAACGAAGCCAGTGTTTGTGTACTTGCCAGAATAGAAAGTTAAATAATAGCTAGGGCAGGATATTCGTGTGACCCAGTACGTTTTTGGGGTTCTTCTGCAGCAATATTTGGGGCTACTCCCTCAGGCCGCCCTCCTGGAGATTGCAGGATGCTCATTTGCTGCTACCCACAAAGAAGTCGAGTGATAAATCGGGGAGCTAGCTACTGAGCAAAGACAGTGAGTTGG